ATCTACTGAATTTTAAATTAAATTAGATCACTCGCATTGCGCTCCTATTTCACAATTAACTGCAAGAAAATCTAAAGTTTCGGTAACATTAAACCTAATTATCATTTAACAAAGCCCCCGAGAAGTCCTAGAACTTCACACAATAAAAATAGCGGAAGCCCCTTTCTTGTAACTAGACCCCATAATATAAACGACCACTTTTTTTCGCGTATTTCATGACAAAGAAACGTGAACAGAACAGAGACTAATAAAATTGCATTAAAACAATGAACTGCTGAATTTTCAGATGGAAAATCATAACTTTAAAGAAATTTTCATTGTAATGCGAAGATGAAACATATGATATGGCAGGGTGAATTTTAAAATGAATTTTTCTACATGCAGACAACATGACATAGGAATACAATAGCTTACGAGTTCGCTCTTCATGATCCTCGAACCGCAAAAAAATCACTGGGTAACCTGTCAAGAGCCGAAGCGATGCACTGTCTAGGTGAAACAACTCAGTTTCCCCATATATATATTTTAATGCCCCCACCCCCACAACCTTTGGCACTGTAACATGTTTCTTTGAGGCTCGGCACTTTGACAAGGTCATCTGTTGGAGAAGTCCATCTAGCTTTCCACATATGACACACCCAACGGATCACCGTATCTACGGGACAGATGTAACCGAGGCAACACCTTTGAATTGTCACATTTTTCCACTGCATCCGGTGATACATTATCAGCCTCAAATTTCACTAATTCTTCCTCCAAAAAATATATTGGACGCAAGACAAATGAGTAGTTATTCTCTTACAATTGGCATTTCAAATGAAAGTTTATATTTTTAACAACAACGTCACGTGATATTTTGGGAGAATTTCTCATTGAATCAGTGAATTTCTTGAAGATTCAGATAATTCTCGATTTTCAGGCCACTAGCGAATTTTCCCAATATCTTCCATGAATTTTCAATCGATCAAAATCTTTCATTGAAATTCAGCAATTATTCAATTTGAAAAATAAAATTTTCTTCAATGTTCACCGCAACTTTAAACTAAAATTGAACAATTAATAAAATTTCTTAAAATTAAGGAAAACTGAAAAATTGAAAAGTTAATTAGAACGCGAATAATTATTTTCAAGAAATATTATGACATAATTGTTTTCAGGATTTAGGTATTAGTTGAGTTACAGGACTTTTTTTCAGAATCCATGAAAAAGTTCGTAAACTTTTTCCATTGAAATGACATTCGATCTCAAAATGCAGGGAAATTTGTGATTGACATTTCGAAAAATTGCCAACACGGTTGGTCGTTCGTCCTGAAAATGCATTGTACTGAAACGCGTACGTGAACCGAAGTAGTTCAAGAACGTGCGATTCAGACGTACAAATTGCATACACTATTCAATTTTTTGTACTTAATCATCTATCCTTCGGTTTTTATTGTCAGAGGAAAAGGTTGGATCAAAATAAACTAGAAAATCAAGACTAATTTTAGCGTAGAACAGGTCCTCCAAAGTTAAAATTAATTAATAACTTGAAAAAACACTTACTTTCAGAAAATACTTAATGATTTGTTACAAAGTGAAAATTCTAATTATTACCATTGTACTAACTCGATATAAAAAAAGGGTCTGAAAATGATTGTGAAAAACTCAAAATTAAGTTCGCTCCGCAATTACGCGAATTGTCCAGCAATTATTCCATAATTTATTTCTCCACATGTATTACTCCAAGGTTGAGAGACAAATTCATGAGAAAATATGATAATTCTGGAATTGTGCCACACAAGTGACAACTATTTACTACGATGAACTCAAATTGCATTACGAAAGAGATCAAATCGTCTACGTAATCTCAGCTTTGATATTATTCAAAGGACAATTGAAATTGATCTGGCGTTATGGATTTTGATCGGCAAAGATGCTGTGAAGTTTCGATCCCACGGTGAGATTGGTAATTGCTTCATCGAGATCAAGACTTATTACCGTTTAATAATAAATCCGAAGTGCAGGGCCACAGATGAAGGTATCAATGCGTCACGTCATGGAAATAGATGAAACTAGGGAAGTGAATGTTGAATGTAACACACCCACATTTCCGTGTGATTTGTTATTAACCGAGTGCGAGTGCATACATCCGATTTCACTTGGAAAACAGACCGAGTCATCGTCTCTGCCCTTCAACAAATCTGGTATACACGCCTTCATGCATTAAAGAAAAATCCTCAGAAGACAAATAGAATAATAGAATTCTAGGACTTGCTATAAAAGAAAATTA